ATTCCTGTAGTAGCAGGGTCTTCATCACCAAGATGCTTTATTCTTAGAGAAATGAAGAGAAGCAGATATGCTTTTCCTATGCTAAGTGCTACAAAGCATAAAGACTTCTCCATTTTCACGTTCCAGTTCATAATGGAGGAACCCAAGCCTAGATTCAAGTTTTTACATGCTTTCTGACCTGGACCCAATGACAAAGAATTTGGAAACATATTTTGCAAGATCCTGCATGAATGTGTGCTATTCATTTCTACATTTACTAAAATGGACAAACAATATGAAATAGTCAGGTGGCAAAATAAGAAAAATTTTATTAACATTAGTCACCTACTCCTGTATGTCATTTAGCTTCTGGTTTGCGTTATTCTTGAGGGAATGCACAAGGAGAGTAAGAAATACTATGAAAAACACCAATGGTTAATGGTCCTTCTAGTGAGCTGCACAGTTGCAGTGACAAAAATTTCTTTTTGTCCTTGTCAAAATAGAGTATTTCGCATCTTTCTCATCTTTAGTCATCTAAGTATTCTGTTGGTTTTTTTTTTTTGTGGGAGATAGTTTCATATCAAAAGGGGAATTTTCTTCTAAGAAATTTTTAGCAAGAATTTAATGAATTAAAGAGCATTCCAGACCACACATTAATTTCATTCTTTCAAAGACCTTCTTGCATATCATGGCAATTTAAATGAAAAATAATTGTGAACATATTTTTAACCACCCCATACAGTAATTTCAGTGGAAATACAGTAAGTAAATACTAATTTATATTAATTAGGTCTCCAGACTATAGGAAAACTAATATAATTTGTTACACATTATATAATTAGATTTACTAAAGATTATTTCAACTTTCTAACAATCTAAACCTTTTCCAAAAAGCATAGGCATATCAAATACAGCTAGTGAAGCATTAAGACAGTTTACACATGATGTCTTTAATGTGGGATTCACAAAGTACTTGAGAAAGATTATCTTTCACTACAAAATCCAGCAAGAACAATTATTTAACATTCTGCGTACCAGGAAAGAGGAGCACTCTCTGAAAAGGATATTAAGCAACTGCTATCATCACATATAAAGTAGCTAAACTGGGAATAGAACCCAAAGCTTCTGGCACCTAATTCCCTGCTGAAGGCACTGGGCTACATTACATCCAGTTATACAAACCAGCACTGACATCAGCAGAAGTACAGTTTATCCCCTTTGGCATTTTAGAATGTCAGTCTCCATAACACTCTCAGTGTTTTTTGTTACAACACAGCAAGTATTAGATTTAATTGGTATTAATTATAATTAGGAAATGTAAACACGTCAGTAAAGGCAAACCAGGATTTTTTTCCTTACAGTATTTCCAACTTCACATTGACTAGAAATGATGGGAAATGCGCGTGTGGGAAAAACCTCAATATCTATGAGTTCCAGCGCTATTTTCAAGCCAGAAGTTTCAGAAAAGCATCTGAGTTTTGGATACTTGCTGTGAGCTGGCAGAAGGATAACAGAAATTTTTTTTCTTACATTTGCTTAAACCAGCCACAACTCTTTTTTTAAACAAACAAAACTGAAAACAGATGCGTATTGGATGCTCAGTATTATCAGCTAACTCCTAATTTCAGAGAAGCAGCTGAGTTTGCAAACACCTCTGACCTTGACATTTGTCCAACACCTATTCTGGGGCCATAAATCAAGATGGGTTTCTGTGTTATTTTTCCCTATCTTTGGTGTGGAATTCTATAGGATTTCCATTCTAATGCTGTAGAAACTACCATCCACCATTAGCAATATTCAAATTAATCAGGTGACCAACAGAAAATTAGACAACCTACTGAAAGTCATCACAGAATAAGGTAGAATAAGATGTCAAAAGACAAGAAGTTAAACTATACAAAATCAAGTACGTCTGATTAGATACCATAAAGCATAACATTATAAAGCAACAGAAGAACAAGGGAACATGAGAAAAAGTGGACAGGTGAGTAATCCAGGTGGTTTTGCTCTTTCTAATATACAAAAGACCTCACAAAAAAGTGTCCAAATAAATATAATATATAGAACTTCCAGGACAGCTGCAGGAATGTATTCTCCCTCTTTTTTTAAAAAAATACATTATTCCCACACATAAGGATTAAATTTTCTGTCACACTGACAAAGATAAAAATATCTCAATTTTCACATCAATAGGCATAAACAGGGAAAATATTTAGAAGAATATGTTTTTTCTATTTGAAATGATAATGCACAATTGAACTGCAACTTTATCTAAAGAAGAACTAGTCCTCTTCCAACTGGGTATTTTTATAATATTCCACGCATAAGAAAGCGGAGTGTGATAAAAAGGGTAAGTCAGCATTGCAGGAGAAAGCAGGTTCTGGGTTGTCTTTATTTTTTAAGGCTTTATTGATATGATTTACCATCCCTTCTGCTGGTTTTAGCTGGTGTGGAGCTAACTTTCTTCACAGAACTCCTATGGTGCTGTAGATTGGATTTGTGACCAAAAGAGTGCTAACGCATCCATGCTTTAGGTACTGCTGAACAGTCCTGCACAGCATTCAAGCCTTCTCTATTTCTAATGCTGATGGTTCAGAAAGTAGGCTGGGGATGAACAAGAAGTTGGGAGGGGCCAAGCCAAATAAATCAAAGGGATAACTCATACCACATGACATCATGCTCAGAAATAAATCTGGGAAAAGAAAGAGGAAGCAGGGGAGAAATTCAGAGTTTTGATCTTGTCTTCCCAAGTAGAGGTTATGTGTGATGAAATCCTGCTGTCCTGGTAATGTGAAATTTAGAAATATGAGTTCTAAATGGAACTTAGAAATACTGTGGCTGGCAGGATTAGGGAAGTGATAAAACACAGTGTATTTGACACTGATGAGGCCACACCTTGAATCCTGTGTTCAGTTTTGGGCCCCTCACACAAGAAAGAACTTGAGGTGATGGAGAGTGTCCAGAGAAGGGCAGTGGAGCTGGGGAAGGGTCTGGAGCACAAGTCTGAGAGCAGCAGCTGAGGGAGCTGGGGGTGTTTAGGCTGGGGAAAGAGAGGATCAGGAAAGGCCTCATCACCCTCTACAAGTCCCAGAGAGCTTGTGTGTGTGTGTGGGGGGGGTGTCAGTATCTTCTCTCAGGTAACAAGTGACAGGACAGATATGTCAGGGGAGGTTCAGATTGGATGTTGGAAAAAATGTCTTCATTGAAAGAGTTACCAAGTATTGAAACAGGCTACACAGAAGACTAGAGGAATAAGCATCCCTGGAAGAGTTCAAAAAGAGTGTACTTAGGCACATAGTGGTAGAACTGGCAATGTTAGGTTAATGGCTGGACACGATAATTTTTAAGAAGTCTTTTCCAGCCTTAATAATTCTAAGAAATGGCTGAACACCTGTTCAGCGATGGGAAGCAGTTGATGGAATTCTGTATTTCACATTGTTTGTTCACACAGCTTTTGCTTTCCCTATTGATTTGTCTGTATTTCAATTCACTAATTTATTTCCGTTCACCCTTCCACCCTCTCCTTGCCTCCCCACGGAGGAGCAGGAAGCAAACGGCTGAGCCGTGCTAAGCTGCCAACTGCACGAACCACAGAGTCCTTGTGAGACCCGGGGTATGGTAAGAATTACAGAATCTGTGGCACCAGTGTGGAAGACACCATTTGGTTAGGGTCTGGCTAGACCTGGGCAAAACTGATTATTGCAATACTTTGGTAAGCTAGACATCATAATGGTTCTGTAGAAATACAAACATATATATACAGAGTACCAATCCAATCTTGATGTAATTGTTAAACTGTAAGTGAACATTTCCAATTAAATACATTAGAAAGACAATGAAACTGTCTTGCAGTGACATCAAGATTTCCATTACATTTTTTGTTTTAAAAATTCTGTGGCGAGGAATTTGCTGCTTAAATACTGTCCAAATACACTTGCACCTAAAATAATTATATCAGATAAGTATATCCATTGAACTCTGTGGCCTAGGAAAAGGGTAAAGGAGAATATTAACTTATTTACCAGTACAATTTAACTGCTACTTTTTAAACAGCCCATTTTCATTTGTCAAAGTATTTACACAAGACAGCCTCATGAAACAAAGTTATTAAAAAGACATTAGGACAATCTTTATAAAAAGGATTAAGCTAATTAATAAATTACTACAATAATCTTAATGATCACTAATATTCTGTCTGGATGAGCAGATTCAGACAGTTCAACTGACTTCTCAGATCACAATTTCTACGAGAAATACAATTAAATTTTTAATAATTCTAATATCTCTGTCAAAAATACAGAATTTTACCTAAATGTTTACCTAAAAAGATTGTACTCCTACAAGGAGAGAGGGGAAAATCTCTTCCTGCATATATTTTCCACAACTCCAGAAGCAATGGTGCTGGCAGAAGCAGGTAATAGGGAACACAGCATGAAAAGGAGCAGGACTGTTGTTTTCAACAGAAACCTGCATTTACATCGTCTTCAGTTGACCACCAAATTGCAACTCAGTTTTCACCCATTGTCTCCAGACTCTAACATGGTAAATCACTTTTTATAATGCTTATTTCTCTTTCACACAAGACAAAAATCTTTGAATATTAATAAGTCAGTTCATAAGCTCACGCTAGGGAGAAAAGATGACATGCATATATGTGGACTTTCTCTAAAAGAGTGTCTTTCACTCTTGTCTTTTTTAAGTCTTTGAAGCTTTATATTCCCTCTGACAAATTTAGTCTGTGATTAATATATTTTTCATTTTGCCTACTAATAATAATAAAGAACAAAGCACAAAATAACCAATGGGAAATAGGTGAGATCAAGGGAGTGATTAGCTTTGACAAGTGATGTCTAAGAAATGTATAACATATATCAACATATATGAACATATATTAGGCCCATTAGGAACATAATCCACAGGAATTTTCAGAGGAAACAGATATTTAATGCAGCTTACACTACACATAACTTTATAAACCACTACACTATTTGGCAATAAGTTTTTTTTTCAGATGTGGTTACCTTTCTGGAAGAATTCCTCTAATTTCTCCTTGAAGGGCTGGAGATGCTCTTCAGAAGACTCTCTGCAAACTAGCTTCATCTGCTTTTCAGAGGCTACAAAAAGATGAGACACATTTATGACAGAAGAAATGTACCAGAAGTAGACTTCAGCACCATAGGAGCCTACATCTAAATTAGTCACCTGAATTTACTTTAGAGGTTATAAATAAGCACTAAGGAATCCAGCAATTACACTAATATAAGAAATACAAATACTAGTCAAGCATACTAAATAAAAAATTCTGTATGTGTTTAAAGAGTAGAATTTGTCTTTAATAAGGAATTTGTCCTCAAACTCCTGCAGTGTGCTAGGGCCTGCTACTAACACAGCTTGCCTCACACTCTAATTCTAGATGATATATTTAAAGCTTTAAAGTCTGTTTCTGTGGTGAGTGAAGCATCCTTTGTATCTGGATTGATTTTAATCAATCAGTGCCAGGCATCCCATACTCAAGCATTTTTCCTGCAACAGATGTAGCAATTCAGCATTACTTAAGTGCTCCATCCCCAGACCATGATATGAAACAGTTGAAGTGTGTAAGAAAGTTAACTTGTATTTAAGTGCAATTTGTTTACTATTTAATCTATTTAAGTGCAATTTGTTTGCTATTTAATTTATCTGCTATTTTAAGAACCAATGCCATGCCAATTTCTGAAAAACTTCATTTGCCAACAAATTTTAACAGGCCTAGAACTTCTGGTAAACTTATTGCATTCCAGTGTTCCACATTAAAGATGACAGGAGGCAGAAATCAAAATTAAATTACTTTCCATTTAGCAACTGAATTTGTGAACCACTACAAGATCTTTCTTCCACAACTTTTCATTCCCAAGAAGCTACATTTAGATGGAAACTTATTTTGGAGTTAAACCTAAGACTTACAGTTTGACTACACAAACTGTATTCACACCATATTGCTACCACCATTAAACAAAAATTAATGTAAACCTGTGGAAATGGAAGCTGAGCCTGTGTAATTAAAATGTGCCATTATTTAAATTTGCAATGTAGTGTAAAAAATCAAGGGAAGGTTGAAAACAGATGCATACATTTTACTGTGCAAGTAATATTGTGCTTGAACCATCAGGATGTACTGAAAACAACCATAGCTTTTCAACTGATTGAGAGCAGAAATACATTTGGTCAATTCTTATAGAAGAACACCCATTCTCACCCAAGACTAAATTTTAATTTAACAACCCTCCAGAACTCAAAGTGCAGGTTGTGTAAAATGGCCTGGGCTGCAGTCTAAGTTTATCGTTAATCTAGTCTTGTATCCAGTAGCATATGACAAACCTTTCAAATGATTCAGAGTAAAGTTAATGGATATTGTTTGTATGCCAGATAGCAGGCTGAATGGAGTGGTGATTTAAACATACTAGATGGGGAAAGAAAGTCTTTTATTAGCTGCTCAGTTATGTGTCTTTAATAATTTAAATTCAGAAAAAAAAATCCAAAATCAGGGATATTTATATGACAGCTTAATATTATTTTCTAATGATACATGCTGCTTATCATTAAAAAGTTGACCTTTTGACCTCTGTGACTGTCACAATACACTGACTGAAATGTGTATATTCCTAATATTTATGTTTACAGAATTAGAAAGAGATTTCAATCAACAAAATTGTAACACTACTTTGGAAGACAACAGACATTAGAATTTTTTAAGTGGAAAAAATCTAGCAAAATAACAGAAACAACATTGTAAGTTTCTGACTGTACGTTTGAACAATGTTAACACACAGGTTTGAGACCTTTTTTTTAGTTCAGGTTTGAGACCTTTTTTTTAGTTCAGACAAATCTACAGAAAATCATGAGGCAATATTTAGAAATTATTTTGGATAAATATAAAATGAGGGAACTGTAGAAACATTATAGTACACGCAATATGTTCAGACATTTGAAACACAATAAATTACAGTCATTTAAGGTTGCAAAAACTGCAAACCAGTATTTCTTTTATAATACTCTCATAAATTCATATTAATAATATTAATTAATAAATTCATATTAATCTGTACGGAATTAAATTTCTATGAATATGTATTAGACTAATATGCTTGTAGGTATAGTAGTGTCTAAAAACACTCAAATATACTCTAGAAAGGCATTTTCCCAAACACATGGTCTTGCTAATGCATCCTCTGAAGCACTGAAAGCTTCCTGCACGCTTCCTACAACTCTAATAACACAAGATTTAGAAAGGTTACTCAGGTAAGTCCCATGTATTTAAGTGACCAAGACTAGGATGAACTGTTCCTAAAGAAAAAAGAAAGCACACATACACCACCTTTGGTATGTTTTTTTTTTAATTGAGATTACTAAAATTAACCTTAATAAGAGGACAAAACAATAGGAAAATCTGGATAAGAAATACCAACTCATAGAGCATATAGGAAAACTATTTATTTGGATAGTTAACTCTTAAGAAGAATCCTAACACCCCTAACAAGATGATCAATATTTGGAATGAGGGGAGAGGAACAGCAAGAAGAAAGGCACAGAAATGAAGAAAAACGGGACAGATAACACAGAATAAGTGAATCAGGATGCTAATTAAAACTCTAAAAGTTTGAGATGAAGTGGTATGAGATGAGATACCAGTTTCAAATGCTTAAAGTGATCTTGAAACCATGAAATTGAAAGACAGAAGTAGTCAAACACTGGCAAATTCTAATAATTTACACTACTGTAAAGTCTGAAAAACAGCAAATTTGCTTGGGGATAGATATAGCAAGAAATGATGGAAGTGTGTTCAAAGGAATCACAAATCATATACACAAAAACATATTTTGAATAGGAAAAAAGCATTTAATGACACAATGTGAAGTTTTTTATTAAAATGACAGTTGTGATGACACATATTAAAGTCAGGTGGTCTTTGTCAAGCTGCTTTAGTAATAATGGTAGAAGTCTACCTCACAACTGTGTGACCTACCTCAGTTCTACACCATATAAAAAAAAGCATTCACTGAATTTCCTGTTATATAAGGTTTTGTTTAGTTGTTTTATTATTTACTTGAAACATAATGTTAAAAATGCCACGCCAAACATTAGATAAAAACACCTCTAAAACTGGATAGTCTAGTTCCATAAATTGCTTTGATTTTCCTTGCTAAAACTACTATAACATGAGGGACTCTTACATCTAGTCTTTATATTTCATTCTCATATTCACTACAGTACAAAACTTTTCTTATTTGAAAAAAAAATTATTTCAGCAAAGCTTTTATTAGAATGATTTGGAAGTAAAGAATCTTATCATGCATTCCTTCTTTTAAATACATACTGAAAAGCTGCTTTCTGAAAAAATGTCTTTCTGAAATTTTGAGGAATCTGAGGGAATTCTGAAGAAGCTGACAGCAGTCACACCACACATACAATTCTCCTCTCACCATCTCATTCCAAAATAATAATTTGGGAAAATGAAAAACCTGTTTCAGCATTACTGAGTTCAAACAGATGCAAATTCTCCACTAATGTAATAAACTTTTTATTCTTTTCCTGGGTATGAGCAGTATGTTAGTGAAATTGAATGTAATATGCTATTTTGAAAATTGTTTATGTCTAAATGAGCAATTGCAAAAAAAAAAAAAAAAAGGAAAATACAAGTGTGCAAAAGCATTTGAAAGCCCTTACAAATTGTTGGATGTACATCATGCTTCACCCACTACAAATCTTGGCCACAGAAATGGAAAGCATTAGCAAAACATTAAAACAAAGCTGGAAACTGCTGATTATCAGTTTGCCACTGTCTTCAGATTTAATGCAGTACTTGGCTCAAAAAGTTCTTTAAAAAATCCCCAATATAAGTGAAAATATTTACAAAATAGAATGTCTCTCACTTAATGCCTATTGGGCAATAGTCTTAAAACTCCACAGACACTTGTAAATCTGTCAAAAGAATCATGGCCCATAAACAAACTTTCACGTAAAGAGCATTTCTGTGTCAATCAGACACAATTTGGAATTTTTTAAGCACCATTTTTAAAGTAAACTCAAAACAAGAAATAGTCTAAAGTTGATAACAGTAAATTACTAACTATTTACTCACCAGAACGCACCAGTAGCATTTACAGGAATCAGCCTGACAGCAAAACCAAGTATCAACACCATGAATTCCTGTAAACCTGTCACTGACACTATCCCCTATGAGTAATGCCTCTGTGAAAGCTGCTAAAGCTCCCTGCTCCTGTCTGTTCAGAGCATGGCAGGTTATACTGCCAGGCTTGCTCTTCTACTCAGTTACAACACAAGCATATCTTTGACAGAAGGATTACATTGAAAATTCTTTTTTAGAATTCTTACCTTTTCTGCTTCAAAGAGCATTTGAAATAATACTGCAAATGAATTCAGTGTAGTGCTAAATAACCCCAAATTTCTGCATGAGCGAATCCATGATGTTTTACAGTGCACAAACCTGTTATGCTACTTGGATCTATATGCCCAAATAAAACCCTAATAAACGTTGGATAAATTTCATAAATTTGTATTATTCAGCAAGTGCTATATCATTTTCTCATTATTTAGTTCCTTCGGTATCACTCTATTAATTTTCTTGCTTGGAAACAACTTTTCAAGCTAAATGAATAGTTACAGGTGGAGATGCATGTTTACCATTGGACACTGCTGCAGGATCTGGTTATAGTCTCCTGTTATTACATGCACTTAGGTACCTACTCACTGGAGCTGTTCACATGGTATTAATTGAATGCTTTTTGAACTATCTACAGCTATTGCACTTCTGTACAAACTTGCACGGTTTTCCTTTCAGAGAGAATTTTAAATAATGTGCAGAAGGGAAGAGATTAATCTTGATTCTGTGGGAACGTGGTAAGAATTTTAACAACTTCCAACTGCAAGAGGTTATGCTGCTACTGACTCAGAAAAGTTTCAGAGAAAGTATTTTATTTGCCCTTTTGTACACACATTGATAATCAGTACACATCAATAATAGGATCATACAAATGTTCAAGCACTGCCACCAAAGTCAGAGCAGGGCTGACTAATATGGAAGCCTCTGAACAAAGCAGAGATGGAAATGCCATGA